CAAACTAAAGAGGGCCTATAAATAAAGCGCGGGTAATCCAGATAGGTTCGGTAGATAGGGAGAGAGGCAAGAACATCGAGGCTATGTTAAATTTCATTTTTATATCATCGTCATGATCATCATTTCCTCGAATCCCTCATTATCTTACTGTACTCTCGCTATATATTATATCTCTCCTACCCCCCAAGAAGAATCTATGGATAAGAAAATCCCACGCCCGGTTGAGATGCGGTGAGGTGGTCCGCGTTTCGTTAATGGACTGGCGGTGTTATGGGTGAGGATGTGATGTGAGGATGTGAGGATGAGGATGTGGTGTTTAGTTTTCAGCTGGGGATGGATGGGATGGGATGTGTGAGATTGGATTGGATAGGTTGGATTGGAGATGTTATATATGTATAAATGTATGCGTGTGTGGTAGTTTGTTAGCAGGCTTATTAGTAATTATTCTACCACTATTGCGTATGAAGTAATTAGGAAATACATTCATAACGTCGAATCGATTCAATTATCAAAATGGAAGGAAGGGATAGATAGATAGATAGATAGATAGATAGATTCCCCATTTCAGGATGGTGAGAAGGAGGTATGAATGAGGTAACATTATAGTAAGTAGTTTTTGAATCAGCGAGGGACGACAAACGAGGTGAACCAGAACTCCTGATATTATTTATGATGCTATACTCTCCTGATACCCGATACTCCTACACAGTCATCATAACCATACTGTAGTATCCAATATAATATTCCTAACCCTTAGTTACGTTTCAGCTGATAAACACAACGATACCTACCTACCTACTGATAGTCAGCAAGATGAGATGAGAAGGAAGAGAAGGAAGTACGAATATCGATATCAATATCTGATACCGGTACAGTTACGAGTAAACATGTGATAGCAAGCTAGATGATCATCCATTCCAGCATACATATCAATATCAATATCAAGAAAGAAAGAAAGAAAGAAAGAAACATACATCTCTAATCACCTACATTAACATTCACCACCTACATGTCATACTCCGGCACTTATTTTTATTCCTTCACAGGATTCTTCTTCTCTTCTCTTCTCTTCTCTTTACATAGCGTTCCGAGTCTTCTACTTCTCGCACGAAAGGTTCTAGCTCGCTCGCTCGTGTATCTATCCATCCATCCATTCATCCATCTGTACAACTACCGATGGGTGGAGAAGGATGTTTCAAGGGAGGAAGGGAAATGGAGAATTTCTTAATGCCCCCAAATAAGGAGAATGATGACATATATCTCTTCTCAGACCAGACCATGATTATGATTCGAGTGTTGATTATATCATATCATTTCATATCGTATCATATCATTTTTTTATTTGTTTGATTTGATTTCCTTTCATTTTCCACTTTTTCTTTCGTGCAGCATGTCAGGTTGATGCGAGTCTTGTCTTTGGATATGGGGCGAGTGTTATGGTTTGGTTGTGGAAGGAAAGGGAAGGGAAAACTACTTATTGTATGGATGGATATGGGTATAGATAGGTATAAGATAGAAGAGAATACAGATCAGAATACATAACACTTTCATCTCTCAAGTATCCATTCAATCCATCCAGTCTCTCTCTGGTCATCACAAATCACAAATCTCAAATCTCAAATCTTACTACTCCATTCATGTTAGCCCGACATCAAATCATCAAACCATCACCATCAACAATTTCGCAAATCTACCTACCTCTATGATCATGACATGATATGATACAAAGTGCAATGAGCGAGTAATGGGAGAGGAGAATAAGGTTACCCGGGCTGGGGAAGAGACGAATACGCACGCACGCACGCCATCTCGCACCCCCCCCTAAGGCGAAGGGTTTCAAAACGTGGAGTGTGTGGCTTGAGTGTGGGAGGGAGGGAGGATGGATCGATGGATGGAAAGAGAAAGGGAAAGAGAAAGAGAAAGAGGGTGGTGGATGGATTACGTTGACCTTTAAGATTGGGATCGGGGGTTTAAGGTAGAGCAGAGCAGAGCAAAAATAGAGCAGAGCAGAGCAGAGCAGAGCAATGTAAGCAATGTAAGCAATGTAGAAATACGGCGTTATTTAACATTTTTCACCTACCTTTTTTCCTACGGTGACCCATTTCATCTTTCATTCATGACAGTTTATATCGAGATAATTAATCAATAGCAAGTAGGTAAGAAGTATTACAAGATATACTTGTGATTGTATTTGTTGTCTCGTGTGGTATTATCATGTAATATTATGTGCCGTATTCATCTTGTACATAGCCAAGAAAAGGTACATCAACTTACCGTACGTACATGCAGTACAGCATCGCAGAGTCGCAGAAGCGTAGTATGTTCTTACGCCAGGTAGGAGTATTGGATGCAGAGAGAAGAAGAGGGAAGGGATGGAATGGAATGGGTACGTAGAGGTAGTAGATGCAAGAATAGGAGATGAATGGATCGTTGGTTATGTAGGTAGGTATGGATACGTACTTGTGGAAGGGAAAGAATTGAGGGATAAATCGGAAAGAGAGGATGGAGGATGGAGTGACTAATGATGTTCTTCATATGAATGAAGGAATAATAAATGGATGAAGTACTTATTAGTTATAGAGAAGGTATTGTGTTTACTCATAATGTTGTTCATAACTCTCACATCATTCACATCTTTTTTCTTCTTTTCTTTTTTCTTCTTTTCTTTTTTCTTCAATAATTATCACTCTCCCTGGTAATCCCTGACTATCTTTTACATTTTGTGGGGGGATGGTTTACTTCTTTTGGCGTTTGTCTGGGGTATAGATAACTGAGTCGTCCTTTTCCGTTCGAGGGTTGGTGGGAAGAAACTTGGAATTATTGGGGGGAACGCGAGACAGAGAGAAGAGAGAAGAGGAGGGGGAGGGGGAGGAAAGTTAAATGATCCCCAGATATCAGATACGATAGGTACGGCTATACTTTGGTGATTTATTATGTGTTGGGGAGTGAAGGGGAGGAAGGAAGTCTAAGACTAAGATTAAGTAGTGGGTGAGTGAATGAGTGGATGGTAGGTAGTCATAAATCAAATCAGTCCATGCCATGACTGGATTGGAGGAAATGATGGGTGATGGGGGATGAGTGATGGAAGGAATGAATGAATGAATGATTCAATAATGAGATGATTATTCAATAGTTTGATGGATGTGAATGTGAATGTGAATGTGAATGTAGATGTATATATAAATACTAATACAGAATACAGATGAGATTAATATGAATAAGTATATATATGTATATATATGTATATATATGTATATATATGTATATATATGTATATATAAGTATATATATGTATACATATATATATACATGTATCGAAATGTACAACCGAAAGATATCTACCTCTACCTACATATCATCCTATGTCTAGAACCTTCAAATCTATCTATTACTACTCCTCATGTATTACTTACTCTCTAGTCTTGGTCTTCTTGTCTTCTCTTCTCTTCTCTTCTCTTGTCTTGTCTCGTCTCGTCCCGTCTCGTCTTCCGATAGAGATAGGTTACCTATGATTGATGAAAATGAAAATGAAAATGAAAATGCTAACGAAAATCAAAGTAAGCTAAAATAGTATCATTCCAAATATCAAATATGTCCCCACGCTTATCCATTTTGAGCAATTCTTCTCGTGCAAATAGATAAGAGCCGATCAAAATCCCACCGGACTTGACACAACACACCCACGCCCACGCCCCCATACCTTTTTTTTCCTTTTTCTCACTACTGAATTGCACTACACTATCACTACCAACTACCCTCTCTCACTAATCCCTTTTCCGCCCACCCACCCTCACTTATTATTCACTGATTATTCCTACCGTCCGACGCTAATGGCTTAGTTTTTATTATTATTATTATTATTATTATTAATTATTTAATTTTTCTCTCTCCAAGAAAAATAGACCGACCCATTTTCCACCCAAAATCCAATCCAAATCGGCTTTTTATGCTCCTGATAATGTAATGCATTTTTTCATTTTCCCTTTCGCACTTACTTCTTTGAGACCCTTCATTTGTCTTCATTTGTCCTCATTTGTCCTCATTTGACTTGTACATAATCTTTTCTCATTCGTATAAGTTGAAAGGCCACCCCCTCCTCGGCATATCTTCTTCTCCGTCTTCTACCCCGTCATTTGGATTTTATTAATGACAGAGAGGAAGAGAGAGAGAGAGAGAGAGAGAGAGAGAGAGAGAGAGAGAGAGATCATATACCAATTCAACGCAAGTCTTCAATTACACCACATACCACACACATACTACACACCACACACCACACACCACACACCACACACCACACATCACACATCACACCGTCTTTAAAGTCTTCTCATAACTCTTTCAAGTAAAGCATTTGAATGCTCAGTCAAATGCTCAGTTAAAAAAGCAACTACAATTCAATTACAATTACAACTATAACAACAACCACCACCACCTACTCTCCTCTCCTCTACTTTCTACCAAATCACATTACTTCTCAACCCATTACAACCCAACACACCAACTCCATTCAAATTCAAATTCAAATTCAAATTCAAGAACAAAAACAAAAAGAACAATCACATTCACCGATTGATGTTCAACCATTAACCTTGGAATAATCCCAAAGCGAATCCACACTAAGGATTTATTAAATACACAATTGTCACTGACTCCTCCAAAAGTCTCAATTCACTTACTCCCGCTTTCCTCTCCGCTTCGGCCTTACTACAACTGAACATAACCCACTTTATTAAGGCTCACCCACCATTCACTTATATATCACTGACGAATTCCCCCAAACTTCCATCTCTCCCCTCAAAAAAAAAAAGTTTTCGGAAATTTTATCTAAAGTCTTCTTTGGTCTTTGATTATACTCCCTCTTACTATATTATCTCGACCCTTCCAACGTACTCTGAAGTCTTGCTTGCTAGGTATTAGACTTCATTGAAGGATTAAGGAAAGGAAAAGAAAGAAAAAAAGTCGACGTTCGAGATTACAGGATTCGTTGCGGCGGCGATCACATGCAACGCGCTTCTTCAGCAGTAGATTTTAATAGTCTACTGAATCCTCCTCAGTCTACTCAGGAATTGGAACACCAAGCTGCGAGACAGAAATTGGCCATCATCCAACAGCAACAACAACATCAAAGAGAAGCAGAAATGGCTGCCATGAGTATGATGGCGCCAACCATGGTCGGTGGACACCATGGAGATGATCGTCAAGATTTACCTCGACCATACAAATGTCCGCTGTGCGAAAAGGCTTTTCACCGTCTCGAACATCAAACTAGGCACATTCGAACTCATACGGGTGAGAAACCTCACGCTTGCATGTTTCCTGGCTGCACCAAACGATTTTCCCGTTCGGATGAACTCACTCGACACTCGAGGATACACAACAATCCAAACTCGAGAAGAAGTAACAAGGCTCAACAAGCTCCACAGATGGGGGTTGCGATGCATTCAGAGTCGATGGCTACCATGATGCCGCCACCAAATAAGAACATTACTCGATCAGCACCAGCGTCCGCTCTTGGGAGCCCAAATGTTTCACCGCCTCACTCATACTCGTCGTATAGCGGCAACTACCTTTCGAGTCTCAATCCTCATGGAAGAAGTTTAGGAGGAAGCCCAAATAATGGTCAAGCACCACTCACCGACATCAACATGTTAGCCACTGCGGCGACACAGGTCGAGAGAGAAAGTAGCACCACCGCAACTCATTACTCTCAACACTCCCAACCCCGTCATCAACCATATTACAGCCATAGCAGTCACAACAGCAGGAATCATCTTCCTTCGCTGCAAGCTTATGCTATGACCAGAGCGCATTCTCATGAAGAAGATGATCATTATGCTCATCGTCATGCGAAACGTTCCCGCCCAAACTCGCCCATGTCGACTGCACCATCTTCGCCTACATTCTCTCACGATTCTCTCTCCCCTACTCCTGATCACACTCCCCTCGCAACTCCTGCGCATTCGCCTCGTTTGAGACCATTCGGTGGTGGATACGATCTGCCAGGTATTAGAAATCTGTCTCTTCATCACACTCCTGCTCTTGCACCCATGGAACCTCAACATCTTGATGGTCAATATCACTCTACTGCCACTCCTACCCCGCCAACTACGAGCGCTCCAAGAACAGGTCTTACCATCTCTGATATCATGTCGAGAACGGATGGTAGCACGAGAAAACTACCAGTTCCTCAAGCTCCGGTCGCTGTACAAGATCTGTCGAGTCCAGGTGAAATTGGCTTCAATACCAGTGGGCAGAGTAGTACCACTGGTAGTGTTGCTGGAAATGACCTCGCTGATCGCATGATTTGAAGATGATACTTTGGAATGGCCTCCATTTTTTGGGGGGGGGGGGGAACATTGCAGTTGCATGACCTTCAATATTCCGTTTAAAAGCAATGATAATTTGAGTATTTCAGACAGTTTAATCTGCACCATTATATGGTTATTACTCTATCGGCGTTTGATTATCACGAAAAGACACGTGGCAAACAACAGACAATCGTCCCGATTAATATCACCTCATCGAGCCCTTTGTCAATCACGACTCGCGACCTCATTAGAGTCAACATCTCGACTCCTTATTTAACCTTTTTATATGGTTCATTGATTGTTTTCTTCTGCGGCATGGACGGGGTTTTTGGTTGTATACTTATAGCGGCATTTTCAAACTATAGACTACTTTTTTTTTTGTTATTGAATCTATTGATTCTGATTCTCCAAATGATGGAGCATCTCACGGCTGGCACATTTTTTTTTTTGTTTGTTTTCATTAGCTTTTTATTGTTCACCACGGATTGGAGTGAGGATTAAGGATGCATTTCAAGCATTCTTTGGGAAGCGTAAACATATCCGGAGGAGGATTTATAGACTTGGGTGACGGTATGGATTGGGGATGGGAATGGATAGGGAAATTCATGGGAGAAAAACATTTCATCCCGAGAGTGGCTATGAATGGGGTGGCTAGGGGAGAGTGCAGAGTAGAGCACAGGTATCATAGGGGATGAAATGGTGGATGAGTGAAGGCAAATGATGAAGTAGCATTTAGCTAGCGTAGTATAGAATTTGGCGGATACCAAATAATAAGCGATGAAATAAAAGCTTTCAATAACCCAATATTTGAATTTTTGGTCACTTGTTGATTTCAGTGAAGAAGAGGTGAGTGTCATGTGTTTAGTTTGAGATTGAAGACTGTTAGATTCGTTATTGGCTTATGATACAATCTGATTTGTTGGTCTGATCTTTTCTGGAGAGAAAGGTTAAACTTTTTTCACTACAGACTATAAATTACCTACCTATCTATCAAGACTCACTCGCTCTTCCTAAATTCCTTATCTTATCTTTGATGTAATGTGATGTGATTTACTCCGGGGTTGGTTTGGTCTGCTTTGAGTTGAGTTGAGTTTGAGTTTGAGACTGTTGACCTGCTGATGTATTGATGGGGGTGGATGGGGGGATGAGGGTTTGGGGGTTTGGGGTGGGAGGTTGACATGTGACTGGATGCGTGATTGAGGATGGATGGATGGGTGAGGATGGGTGAGGATGGGTGATTGGGTGATTGGGTGATTGTGGGATTGTGGGATGGATGGTAGATTTGGATGGTAGATACAGATGTAGATATAAAAAAGAGAAAACAGAGTTGGTTTGATGGTATGTGTTTATATGTCTGCGCTATATCTGTTGGTGTGGTGTAGTCATTATATTTTGTTGGTATGGGATTTGTGTGTGTGTGTGTGTGAGTGAGTGAGTGTATGTGATTCTTGGGGATAAGTGATTCTTGGGGTTGGGAAGATAGGTATTGTAGATGGTATGTGAGTGGGTGGATGTGGTATTGGATGTGGATGTGAATATGAATATGGATATGGTTTGTATGGAGGAGGGAGGAGGGAGGAGGGAGGAAGTAGGGGAGTTGAGAGATTGGAATGCTTGGAGATTAGGAGGTTTGGCATAATGGGGGGGAAGTCGGTAGGTAGGTAGGTAGGTAGATAGAGTATATTAAGTTTCTGACATGGGTTTCTTGAGAAGGATGAGTTGAAGTAGGGAACTGTTGGGGGAGGGGGTGGGGGTTGGGAGGTGCGGGGGATGGGGATGGGGATGGGGAATGGGCTTGATGTATAGAGATAATATGGATGAATGGATGGATGGATGGATAGATAAGTGTATAGATAGATGAGTGTATAGATGGGTGGATAGATGTATATTTACTGAGTAAGGAAATATAAGTCACTAGGAAAGATGAGGGTTTGGAGTTTGGAAATGTGTGGTGTGATGGGAGATATGAAGGGGAGTTTGTGAAAAGGAGTTTGTGATTACTTGAGTGATTATCTTGTGGTTCGAGCTTGGGAGGGATGGGTATGTGTATATATGTGTATATATATGTGTATTGACTCGACGGCTTTCGGTTTGGGAGGAGGAAGGGGAAGATGGGGGAATGCTAGATGGGATGGCGGTAGTATGTTTTTGGAGTTTGGGGTTTAGAATTTTAAGGGGGGGGGTTTATACGGTCATGAGTTTAATCGGGGGGTTTCTTGTTTATTACAAGGCGCGAAGAGATAATAAGAAACGTTATTGGGGCGATGAGTGTAATTAGTGTAATTGTCATTACCGTCCAGACAGCTTGCCCAAATAAACAAAATCAGCAACTCCACCGACGAATCAGAAATTCAAGGGGAAAGAGAAATCGATGATGATGAGATTCTATCATGAACTAGGTAGGTATCTACATAACCATATAAGCTAACCGAGAAGTCTAGATTCACGAAAGAATCCGTGATCGTAGGGTTAAGTGGAAAATTACACGTGTAAATGATGGTGCAAGTTGGGAGTTGCCTTGCATTGGATTGGATTGGATTGGATTGGATTGGATTGGATTGGCATGTGTTGAGTGAGAATTGAGAATGTGAATGTGAATGTGAATGTGAATGTGAATGTGAAGTGGAATGGGTGAGTAAGCGGAATGGATTCATGGAGGGGAAAGTTAAAATGTGAAAATGTGAAAATGAGGGTTTGTAGGTATGGATGGATTGGGTAGGTAGATAGGTAGGTAAGGGGTCGACTTGAAGGTTTCGATACGATCACATGTTCCTCGTTGAAGGATAACCTTATAGAGATAAGATGTGATGTAATGTGATGTGATGTAAAGGGATGATTCGGATGCGGATCTGAAATCGCATAGTTACCTAGTATGTACCTCGTAGATAGATATGAGAAGACTAGCGATTTCTTTCCTTGGTTATATTATCGGGTAGAAGATATTACGACGGAGTGCCAGGCGCGGAGAGCTAAATTCTACGGAACTTCTTTATCCTTACCGTGACGCGGCGCTTGTGAATGGATGTATGGATTGGATGCAATGAGATGCATAGGTGAGCGGCATGGGAAGGAATGAGGATTCTTGAAAGGGAGATACGGAAATCGTCTCCGTGATTCTAGAGAATGGAGATATGTGAGATGGGGGTCGGACCGATAGGTATACCTACCTACCTAGTGATGTAGCTTTTGCGAGTGCGGAGGAGGGATAGAGGAAAGAAAGAGGAGATGGATGGTATGTGTGATGCAGAGGAATAGGAAATGTTCCGAACTATGTACGGGGATGAGGAGGGTGATGTGATATGATGTGATAGTAGCATCCCGGTGATGAGAGAGAGGGTATCGTTTTTAAAAATGTGGTGTAGGAAAGAAGCTGTGTCGCATGATAACACACGTTGACGATGACGAAAATATCACCATGATGAGCAAGGTCTAGATCAATCACATCATGCAAGCTGAAACGATGACCCGGTTTAGGGATTTACGTGGATCATTTCCCCTTCAGATCTTATCGGTTTCAGGTTTATTCAGATGTATAATTTATGGGAGAATCCGGATCTCCTTCCGATTGATGGGAAATGTCGTCCGTTGGTTATGGTGTATGGTACTTTTTTCATGGACATGATTGTCATGATTGTCATCCTTTTTACGAGATTGCGGAAGATATCTAGAAGTCTTTGATAAGTGGAAGGTGTGATCTTTATACTGCGTCTAAGCAATACGCGGTCTTCGATGTGCTTGATACTTTACATATAGTCGAGAAATAGATGGGGGTGTCTTCATGTGCAGTCCGATATGGGTCACTATATTTTGGGCTATGTTTCGCTTTCTATACTTCCTATGGATGAGGATAGTCAGTAGATTTGTGTGCTGATATCTTGTAATATTGCTGTACTCTACCCTTTCAATATCTTCTCCAAATGAGTAGTATCGAATGGATGCATAAGTATCTGTTACATGGATATACATCCATATAACTCCCGAAAGGGTGTACATCTACTCCGGCACTGTATACCTGTTACTTCTACATAATTTGCAATACATGTGAAATTACAGACTACCTATTTTGTCCCGGAACTAATCGACATTGTTTTCTTGAAGTAGATCACACTTGCGGGTATTGGATGTATCATGATACCTACATACTCCAAGAACACGTGTAAATAGAGAACGACATGGCTGGAGATTTATCCAAGGTTCTCCATGCCATATATCATCATGCGATTCTCCAGAAGAAGAAAAGTGACACCATACAACTATACATGTACATAGCAAGTGACATCCAGACACGGGTCCTCACCAGCCGCTGTCAACATAGCAAATCGCGTCGACAGCCAACTTGGCAATTCTCTCCGACCCCCAACCACAACTATACCCCCGCACCTCCACCTCACCAGTGTGAAATTAGCTGACGATTAAATACGGTCTGTCTCGCATACACCCAGGGGAAACAAGCGTTACCGTCGCATTCTGTGGCACCGGGCGCCAGCTGAAGTTTCCAGATCCAGGATCCGCGTTGGGGAAACGGTGCGCGCCGGTGCGATTTAACGGGTGAGAAATTAATCTTTCTTCAAGGGGGAATTCATCCGCGGTAGGAAATCTCTCTGGGGTATGTGCTGCATGAGAGGGTGGGATTGGCGAGGGATAGAGAGAGATGGGTATGCGGAGGCAATCAATTGCCAATGGTACGGATCAATCGTTGGGGTGCCGAATGCGGTCGTGTGCATATGGGTGGTGAGGGTATTCTTGGTTCTGGGGTGTTTTTGTGGGGTAAGTATGGGATGGGTGGTGGATGATGGTTTTATGCTAAATGGAAAGGGAACTATCCTATCTATCTATCGATTTCATGACTGAGGCTGGGAGATGATGAAATAAAAACTGCTAATCATCATATCGCAACTCCATTTTTATCACGGTTATAGAATGTTCCAGATCCCTCCCAATCTACCATTACATATCGCACCACCCCATAGAAGAATGGGTAAACGAAGAGACCAGCTCCTCGTATCCCCATTTTGCCAAAGTCGGGTTCTCAGGGGATAATTAGAGATAAGGCCGACAGGCCTTGGTTAAAACCCGTTGAGATTCATCCGTCGCCCAAGAAAACGCCGCATGCAATATATATATTGTACTCGGTATATTCTTACCGGAGCAAGGAGGGTGTCTCGGGGTGATACGAAGGGGAAAAGAAAGAGATAAGATTTCCGTTGCTGAAACGGGATACGACGTTGACACGCGCGACAGGGCGCAGATGAAGATGATCTGATTTCATTTATGGAATTGATGAATTAGATACGAGTGAGGTTTTATTGGTGTGTAGCGTGGAGAAATGTGCGAATGAATGACTGCCGTATTTCGGTACTGCAGATGATGAGCATCTCGTGGTCAGTCATTTCATGAATAATGGAAAGCTCGTGATTCAAAGACGGGAAGGAAGAAAGATACACTGGTACTAATTTTGAGTTTATAGATAGGATAATATCAAATCGATGTTATTAATATGTGCGAGGCTCAATCCAGGAATCTGGTAGTCTGATGTTTTGCGTTAGAATGTCGTGCATTTAATTTATTTCTTGGCTGGTCATAATGACTATCTTGCGGCTATGTGGGTAGTAAAACGCTATTGAAAATTGGTAAACGGCTTGGATGATATCAGGATGTGTGTTGAATGGTGACCAGACGCGATGGAGACGAGATACAGGTTTTATGTGTTATGGCAAGCCGGGAGAATGGGAACTTTCTTCCGAGGAGAAGTTGAGGAAATGGTAAAAGACGGGGAAGCGAAAATCAGGGGAGCTGAGAATAGTACTGGCGAAGATCAGGAGGCGGCGAAAATAAGATATGAATGGAATTGTGGAACGTGACATGTCTATTTTACAAAACACACGAGTGGTATGGTTTGAGAGCCTAAGAACGTCGGAGAAAAAGGATAACATGATAAATAGAGATTTTTCAAAGTCAACCGTGGTACTGGAATTTATCCAATCTTCATTAGATTTACATATGACTTTTCAAATTCTAAAGATTCTACGAGGGAAAATAACGTTATCTCATGTATCAATGAGCATGAATGTTGAAAGCCAAGAGAGTATTCTACCGAAACAGTTGTATGGGAAGCAAAGGATAGATCTCTTCTTTATCGAGGATAAAAGTGTATGAAAACAGTAATATGATACATGTACAACATTAAGCACATCATCTGGGGAAGAAACCCCAAACATTAATTTTAAAGATCTCCGCGACATACAGATATTTTGCGTGTAGCGCAAGAACTTCCGGAAGAATCTAGAGCGTGAAATTTTAATACTGTAGATCACTAACAACGAGTAGACGGAAAAATAGTTATACATTGAAATAGTTGATAGATTTATTTTCCTTTGATTCAAGATTTCGAACCTTAGGTCTTTATGTCTTGGAAAGTTCCATTCGGTCTTGTTTTTAATTCGTGAAACCATTTCATGGTTCATGGATGAAAGTGAGGGGAAAATCCTCTCGTTCTGTTTCACTTGATCGAAATATAAATCATCAGAAAAAGGTACTTGAGTACCAGTGACCAGTGATGCATAATACGATCAAAGATTGCAATCGACGGGGAAATTGAGGAGAAAACTTTCGATCTTGTAAGGTGGCTTGGCATTGACATAAAGATCATCTCCCCAGATTTTGACCTACATTCGACAGCGGAGATGACGATTATGGAACTACAACCTTGGACATAAAGTTATGTCAAATCAGCTCAACACGATCGGGAAATATATGGCGTGATGATTGAATAGATTCATTTGTTGACTCCAACCATTTCGTAATGATATGAAATGTATGACTATTGTAAACCATTTCAAATCGTTATCTTCCGGAGTGGATTCTCCAAGAAGTAGCTAAGCAGGCAGTTAAACTCTCTTTTGAAACTACCTAGATAGGTATTGTTGGGAAAGCCATCTGATGACGAATGGAAAAAGATGTGATCGAATCAACCGATACCCCAGACTGAAAGAGCGTGGGGGCATTTACCCTTGAAAAGAGCGGTGTCTACAGAATGATACTTTCCATTCCATACAAGATACCAGTAAATGCTTCTAGATTCCATAATCCTCGTCGATTGTCAAATTCGTCAGGGCTGAGCCACAAGCTGACCTAATCGGCCAGCGCTCACCTCAGATGGCTATACTTAGTTATGCTAGTACTGATATGCCCCATTATTGAACACGGCGAGGCCGTAAAAGCCTAGGGTTACAATGGGTAGGTAAGTTTGGAGATCCAGAGACACTTCGTAATTCTGCCTATTGATATCTCGCGAGAGGTTTAAGATAAGAGAAAGCTATTTTAGAATATGTCAAGGGCAATAAGTGGTGCCAGTATGCCAGCAAATGCGGGACACTATATCAACAATACACCAACAACCAAATGCGCAGAAAGTCGAATTTCCGTACAATTTTCACATTTTAGTTGTATGATTAGGTAGGTATGTCGTTTGTTTCGGTAAGGATTTAAAATGCGGGGGGCGGGGTTTGAGAATGTGGAGAGAAAGCAAACCTTAAGTAAACTTTAGAAAGAAACTTAATCATTTCAATTATTTCGACCTTTTTTCCTACAATAATGAGAAATATTCAGGAGATTATCTTTGAATTAAAATCACTACCTCTTTGAGAATTGAATAAACTTCATATATCTCAAGTAAAATATTACTTGATGAGTAAAAAGCTCAAGGATGAAGAAGAATAGTCAGTGCTTTGCAGACGCCACCCAATTTGGGGAACAGTGATCTTGCATTGCCTGAACGGTTTTTTTGAATATATCTACTTGAAGCTTCATTTACTCCGGAGAGGTGGAAACCGAGAAAGCCTAATCGTTATTGGAATATGATCCGATTGTTTGTTCGCTCATGATTTCTTATTGCATAGGTAATCGAAGCAAACATGATACGATGATAGACAAATAGACGAATAAACATCGAAATGACCGGATGAGAGATACTGTATACTAAGTTTATGTATGTGGTATGTATGTGTGTATCAGTAAATCAATGTCGTGATAGACAAACACTCCTCTAATTATGGAAGCATGCCGGTCAATTGTTCTGCACTCTGCAGTGCTTCTTGCATCTTTTGTGCCAAAGGGCAAGAATAGTGAAACTATCTACTGCTACCGGCTGAGGCAAAAAAAACTCATGATCTTTTTATCATGTGTTACTGTACTTTCTCAAAAGTCGAGAAGTATTTCAATCAATAATATCACTCAGATATCCAACGGACAAAAAAAACAGCACATGCTTGCACGGTCCGAAATGCCGGGAGAAAAACTCCATAATTCTATGAGGCGAGTTGTGGAGATCTGGGGTAAAAGTCATCTGAAGAAAAACCACAACACTATTTCAAACGAGCTTCATCTTGCAACGTATCTTCTATTTACTTGGCTACTTTTTGTATTTCGTGCAGTACAGCATGTTGATCATTTTGCGCCGTGTGACTTCGGAGCGAGTAAATTTGAAGAGAGCAGGATTCAAACGCTTCGAAATGAATGTATCTTCCGTACCATTGATCAAACGCCATCGACCCCGCGATTCCGATTCCTGGAGAAATACCAAAAGTCTTTTGCTTGGCGTTGATCATCCACTCAATTAGCATTGTCGTTTGTGGAAAGATGGGAGATACGAAGATGAACACTTTCGATTCGCTTCCTTCCGACAGACACGGCTGATAATATCATGATTCTTGCTTTTTCTCGTAGACTTCCAAGCTGGTTCAGATAGCGTGAGGCGTATATCATGGTCTTGGATATGTCGTGCGTGAGCCATATTCGGGGCATTTCCGAACCCATTCATGTTTCGTGAGTGAATACTACTCTCCGGCACTGTAAGCACGAGATGAACGTTTATGACATGAAATTTTGCATTGATCTATGTGTTATGTCTCATTCATGTATGACATTACAAGTTCATCAAGAAAATAAAAAATCTAATTCAAGAATTCAAGAATCATTGAACATCCCCGATGAAGCACAATCGATACGGGGCTTAATCAGGTACGAAAGCAAGATGGCCATATGAGCGGGATCCTAGTGATACCATGGGTATGATAAAAATACAGCTAGTCTAGCCCCTCACAGGCCGCCTTGTACGGCGTGGATACCCATTTCAATTTTTCCCATCATGGGGTAAAAGTCGGAAAAAGGACCTTTTAGGTAACACGATGGGAGCCGATGCACACGTTGAGATAAGAAGAAGAAATTCGCGGCGACGAAAAGAGCGAAATGTGATGTGTCATCTCGGATTCACGCAAGTGCATTGAGGTTCGGAATTGACGGTTCCAACGATGTCACTTCACGATGTTACCATGCTGTTCGATCGGTGATATGTCTCTGTGGGGGTCTTTTGGGGTAATTGCTACGTGAGGATGTTGAAAGACGATAAGGTTCATTGACTGGAAAGCGGGAGATAAGAGTGCGATTGGAGTATTGGCCTACATAAACTTTGATTGTGAGGTCTCTCTCGTAAGCAGCACCATACAGGGCAAGAATCACAAACACCAGAAGATTTTTGAGTGTTTTGGCTACATCTATTCTTTATTTCTTGGAGAGCCAAAAATATGACAGGTAAGAATGATATCTTTTTGTTTGCCGAATTCGAGGAGAGATATACTCAGGGGAGCGATAAAGGCTCCGAAGGATAAGCGAGTATTGATTTCCCCCTGATTTGCACCCTAGAAGATCGTGGGGGGTTCTAAAACTCATCAATGGTTCGTCGTTTTGTTGGTACCAAAACGATACGCAACATTCACAAGGTAATATTTTATATATGTCAATGATGAGTTGATGTTGTATCTCTTTCAATGTGGCTTGCAAATTTGATATATTGGTTGCATCACTTATCGAAACAATATTTCTAATTCTAATAATCAAGCAATTTGTGCATCTTTCGAGATCTAGAACTTTATTTTGTGTTTGCGTCACATATATCTGGTTTTGTTATATCTACGTCTTATCTTTCATGTGAAGACAGCGTAGGAAAAGTCTGATTCATTTTGAGTTACTTATTCCATCGGCCGTATTATTCTCTCCGATCTTCAAAGTATGTTTCTCTAATAGTAGTGGGAGAATATCTACTAGCTGGTAGTTTTAGTATCATGTGGCAGGAATCAAGAAGTGTCGGAAATATCGTGGAGAGATTGTTGATTTGGAGTTGTTCCATGGGCCGTGGCTTGATGAGATATAATCCAAGTGGAAAGGTGAATATCGACTTGTGATATATTCATCATTAAGAATATTAGTCTCAGAACGGATACTAGACCACAAATATCTTCAAGGAATGCTTGAAATGTTCGTCACTGAAAAGAAATGTTGACCTTCGCCTATTGCTCTGCAGCGTCACCTGAAGATTTCATCCCGGCTTGTGGCGATAGCCGTTCCATATATCGCATCGATTATCTGTAAGCAGAACTTATTCAATTCAAGATGAAGATATGGCCGTGAATATCTACGTCTTTGTCCCATATTTATGTTTCCAACACGGCTCTGTTCTTGCCATAAACCTGCAGAAGTAGTATTTGTTGTGATGTACGATACTAAGTTCGAAGCATATTCATAAGACTGGGGATGAATTCTGGTCACGGTTATTTTAAATGGAGTTGCGAATGTCTATACTTGAGACCCAACTCGAAACACATCTCATTTGGTACATCGAAAGGGAAACATGTGACTTCCATACTGTCTCGCCAGATACTCTCTTCATTTTGTCACGAAGAACATCTCATTATTGCATGGCCATTTGTGTCATATAGAGCAGCGCTTAATGGACGCTTCACCTCACGGTCCCTACATATAATACGTATGGGCATTGAATCTCTTGTGTATAGCCTCCCTTGTAAGA